CCCTGCGCTCTTCTCCAGCACACACACGCGCGACAACCTCTCGTGAGTTCTCTCTCTGCTCTCTCTCTCTCTTCATGCATTACACACAAACATACACATTCCCCACTTCCCTCTCTTCTCTCTCTCGTCTTATCTCTCTCACACACACAACACACACACACGCACACACACACGGCAATCAGCAGAGCGTCCCACTTGCCCACAATCATCGCTTGTTGTGTCCCAAACCTCACTGATGTCGAGCATGGATCGTCTGGGACGCGGTAGCCAGCGGCTCCTCCGTCCGCGAACCCGTCGCCGTAGCCACGGAGCTAAAGTTTATTGCCAACGATATCTTCGCCAAGATCAATACCAGCCAGCGCAATATAGGCCTACAAACACTACCAATCAAAGTAACAACTAATAGTTACTATTATTAGTATCTACTGTGACTTGAGTTAGCCTTACCAGGCTACGAGTTAGCTCTAAGTACTCTATAGCGCGAACGCGGCTAGTACTGCTGAGAGGGTCTACATCGTCCGCCGCGCGGTACCTGCGGACACCGTACCCTGGTTATATCACAATTATGCCGCGATCGTAACCTCGTCTACTCCACTACACGCAGTCTAGGGATTCGCCCCTACTGCCTTACTCCCTAACCCTAACCCTATCCTAAACCTAACCACTATGTTTTAAAACCACGACCAAGTGTTTTAAATCTAAGCTGACAAAGCACCTGGAGGCGGACAGCATTCACTAGAGTTTTAAGGGAGCGTGCACGATTACTAATATGTGAACCGTTGGCATATGATTCTTCAACACAGCCTGGGTCACAAGCTACAATCCCGCGGGATTTCGAAAGACGCCAACGTTCACGCCCCATCTTTAAAGAACGGTCCCAGACGATCACCGTGCAAAATACAGACAGGTAGCCTGACGTCCGCTGGCTTGGCAAAGATGCATGGAAGCGTGTTTACGGGACCATATTGTACGCCATATAAACAGCATCATGCTGCATGCAACAAACAGACAACATGAATTCGCTCAGCGCACCGTCATGGTCTGACTAATCTTCTGGAATTTCTGGTAAAGACTGGTCACTAAAGCACAGCCCGTAGAGATGAAGAAAATCCTGTTGATGTCCATATCATTTGGACTTGTCAACACAGGCCTTCGATTAAGGTCCACACAAGAGACTTCATTCGGAAACTAAGGCGGCGTTTTGGAATAGAAGGACCGTAGTCATTGGATTGAGATGTGTAAGAACGAAAGGCCAAGAGAGTAGTGCTGAATGGTCAAGAATCGGACTGGAGACCAGTGGTACAAGGTTGGTGCTGCCCAAGGGTCTGTGCTTTGGCCCTGTCCTTTTTTTAGTACGAATGACCGACATTGACGAACAGTTACCAGCAGTCTCCTCCAAGTTATGCGCGATCTGACACCAGAGCTATCTGGAAGACGTCAGTTGCCGATGGAATCAAGTGCCACAGGCTTACAAGGCGATTCCTGTAACAAAGTGTTTACGTGGTCACGAGGACTCGGCAGATGCTGTTCACTTAGGACAAGTTGCAAATGCGCATACACATCGGGTCATGGGAAACCCCCCGGTCTACGATATTATATGAACGAGTCGTGCGCATGTGACGCCAGCCATACGTGACTGAGGAGAAGAGCTTAGGTTATAGTTAATGCCCACCTAAAAACCATCTAGAGCAACCGCCACCTCAGTGGCCAGGAAGGCCAGCCAACAAAGCGCAACAAGGTAGCCTAGGTAGTAATCAGAAGGTGTTTACGACATGGTCGAGGCTCCACCATCTTCCCTTATACGATGTCCTTGGTCCGCCCACACTGGAATATGCTTATACAAGCTTGGAGCCTATATGATTGATAAAGCGACATAGAGCTCTTGAAAAAGTTCAGGAGACGAGCGACTCAGTAAACTGTGGGAAGGATTGGGTAGTTGTCATGAACCCAGCAAAGACTACAGAAGGCTGAATCTTACTACTCTTAGAGACGCGTTAGAGAGAGAGCTGATCTTAGGTCGTAGAGCTATAAGATTATGACGAGGCCTTGGAGAATATTGATCATAGGACATTTTTTTCAGCGCTGGCAATCCTGTCACCACTCAGGACGGTCACAGCATGAAACTGCTTACAAAGAGCGCAGTCGTCTCGAATTACCGGAAAAACATTTTTTCTCAGAGAGCTGATTGACAGCCATAGAAAGCCGTTCTTCCCAAACATCTGTATTAGGCGGCAAAAAGTTGCTCACATTTAAAAATACGAATTAGGCCGCTACTTGGACAGTTCAGGTTTTATATAAGCGCAAGCGGCCTAACCCTGTGATAGCCATTCACAAACAGCTTGTGTGATGCTGTGTGCTTGTACGTAGAATACAGTAAATTCAATATAGTGCCAGAGGGTACGTTCGGGTATACCGGACGCGTACCAGGTACGTTCAGCAGTACCTGGGGCGACATAGACCCTATGTACTATGATGCGTATAGTACATAGAGCTGAGCTACGAGTACGAGTGACGGACATCATGATCAACGACAATATACAAGTTACAACTAAAAAAGATGCTTTCGGACTTGTCATGACCGTTTAATTACGTTTGGAGCTAACGTGTGAGAGTATGACCAGACGGGTATACTGACTTAGTCCCTGAGTATACTACTACTTACTATAGCTAGTAGTATAGTCGTAGTAGTAGTAGTAGTAGTGTAGTTAGTAGTCAAGCTAGTAGTCAGTATAGTTAGGGATGTCACGAGTGTAGGCCGATGTTGTATGACCTTGACAAGAGCTTCAAGCTTGTTATTATATAATTAAATTTATAAATACTAATAAATTAAATTTATTTCATTTTCACGATTACCAGATTTTACTGATTTCATTACTCACGATGCTGACACATTAGTGTACGTGACCAATAATGATTCCACACTTCACTTTGTATCTACAAACATACAAAATAGCGTCTCAGTTACTACTTTAATATAAGCCATTTATTACAAATTAGCTCATACAAACAACACAGACATGGCAATTCGCAAACGGATGACGACAGAAACAAAAATAAACCACCAGGTAGCGCTCTCTTGGAAAGTGCTGCCTCGCAGTCTGCTATATCAGCTGAGGTCACTTCTATTTCGAGATTGCAAAGTAATGCTGCTAAACCTGAACTTTTAATTATCTTGTAAGGGTAGCATGTTATTGTTGCTATAAAGTCTTATCTTAGCTTTTTGTTTTGTTATACTATGTCCATCACTAGGTAATGTTACCATTGCGATTGCCTAAAATAATGCTCAATTTTGACCAGTATAATTTGTGCTTACTGTACAATGAGTGAATGACAATGTACATCATGTAGGCTTACTCATTAGACATTACCTCGCCCAACGGAGTTGGTGGAGGTGAGTTATGTGATCGGTCTCCGTTGCGTTCGTGTGTTGGTTCTGTTAGCGTGTGTGTGTCGTCGCGCGATCGATATTAGCGCGTCGAGTCAGCAGCAGCGCAGTCAGTCAGCAGCAGCGAGCGGCGAGCCAAGCTTCGTAAACATACATGTTACATGCTGGCGGAGGTAGACTAGGTACTCTCCGTTGAGTGCCCTTTGCCTAGTTAGGGACTGTGACTGTGAGTGCCCAGTGTGTGTAGTCGATGTGGTCTGTACTAAGCACGTGCTGTCACTTGATCAGTGCCTAGGGCGCAATGCAGTTTCTGGCTCGATAGTCGCTTACCTCAGTTAGTCATTAACCAGTGATTGTTAGTGCACTGACTTGTTTATAACGACAAATTTAATATGGTTTACTATTGCTGATAGGTCTATGTCCCCAGGTACTGCCGGAACGTACACTGGGTATACCGGACCGTACCCTGGTACTAAATACTACTATCTAATATCCGGACCGTACCTTGCCTACTCCACTAACGAGTCTAGGGAGTCGCGCTACGTCTACTGACCCTACTCCCTAACCGTAACCCTAACTCTAACCCTAACCCTAAAGCTATGTCTCCACACAAGCGGCACGACACGACACAGCAAACCGCAGCGCCGTTTGCTGAAAAAAAATACATTGTGATTTCGTGCATTATGTCTGAGCGCATTGTGTTCACTCTGGTTCAGTGATCAGAAATTATGCATGTGCTTGTTGTCCATTGGCTGATGGTAGCGTGAGCAGAACACGTGATAAAAAACAATCGCGTTGATAATTGATTGGTTCAATTGTCTTTTCGCCGTCACGTTAGCTGGCAAAAGTCCAACTCATTTCACTTTCGCCGTCGCCGTGAAAACCCGGCTGGCGCGCCGTGCGCGTGTCAGAGGAGACTGCACCATAAGATATAATAGATTTGAACTTTGCCAGTAGCAGGGTCTCCAACCATTCCGCATTCTGCGGAATCATTACGATTTCTAGGCTTAATTTCCGCACTCCGCAGCGGCAAGGTTATATTCCTCATTTCAGTTGCACTGTATAAAATTTGCACTGATTGTTCGCATTGTTCGCTTGGACACATTGTTTTTTTTTCACGGTGCCTGGCACTAGCACGCGCTAGTGCAGTTAGAGATGCAGCAAGTTTATTAATAGTCGTCACTGCGCGAGTCGTTTCTGGAAATGCACGCTCTGCCATTACCTTGTTTTGCACCCCCTACCATCGCTCAGTGTTATAATGTGTTTCTATGCATTTTGGTATCTGGCATGTCTACGGTAAATGGAACAGCCTAGTCAGACAGGCGATGCTGCAAGGTGTCGCGTAGTTTGTCTACTAATCAGATTAACACGTGGGGAGAATGGCATCAATTGCCATTGCCATCCAAAAAAAACCGACTTTACAGAAATTCAGGAACGAATATACACCAGGGTTCTCCCTACGTTGCGCAAACGCGGCGCGCCCGCCCCATTTGGGAAAACCCCCACGTTTCAATCGTTGCCGCCCGTTTAAATTACCTCCGCCCCCGATTAAATTCCACCACAAAAATTTGACAGCGCGGGAATCGATCGTCAAGAATTCCTATTCGACCAGCCCCCGGACGCGTGTATTTTTTGAGGTACCACTAATGAGTAAACGTTCTACACTACACATGCACTGCAGACCACACACATAGTACAAACAGTGAAATGTCCCAAACCTTGGCCAAAACTGTACGACTCGGCTGTCTTACATACAAGTACCCAGATACCGTCTATTGTGTGGTGGCGTTTTACGCATTACGCGTTAAAAAACACGCCCCCCGGACCCCCCTAGTTTTCCCTCCCCTCTCCCATCCCCCCTCCTTCCCTTTCCCATCCCTCCCCTTCCCCCTCCCCTATTTCAATTTCACCCTGGGGAGAACCCTGCTACACAAATTGTGGCCTGTACTTGTGAAGTCAAAACTCATTGTTAATCATTGGCTATTGCATGGTATGCAAGACAGACTTTCAAGTGGGGCACGGAGGAAGGAGTGGACTGCCAGAAGCCATTAGTCACTCAACAGCATAAGTGTATGCGGGTGCAGTGGAATCTACACCCATATATCAAGCTTGCTTTAGCAGCAGATAGAGAATTGTCTGGTCTTGACGCAGAAGTGAGATTTCTGAGATTTAATTGAACACAATGTGTCTTTGGAGGGCGGCAGATCATGCAAGATGAACTCTTCAAGAAAATGTTTCCAGATCACAAATAGTCAAAAGTATGGTTGCAAAGTACAAAAACACTGTGAAATTTGTGAAAATTTGCAATTCTTACCTGTGTTTTAATACATGTATTATTACTATAGTAACCTAACTGTGTATGCTTTCTTGAAAGTCATGAAAAGTGTTTGAAGTCCTAACTTGTAGGGTTGGAGTCTAGGGTTGAGATAGCTGTCATCAGACATGAGAATATGGCCCACAGTATTGCCTTAGATTGCAGGAAAATGGCTTAAATATTTCAACATTTTCTTGGGGGGCATGCCTCCAGACCCCCCTAGCACTGGCATGCCTACGGCACACAGACCTGCCTGCGGCAGCCAAGGTTAATTTCGCCCCCCCCCCCCCTGTCCATCAATTTCATTCTGCATTTGGAGTTCACAGGGTTGGAGACCTTGCGGTAGGGGTAAACGACGCCGTTTCCATGGCGTTCCGTGCCGCGCCGCGTGTGTGGAGACGGGCCTTTACCCTAACCCTAACCCTAAGTTAACCCTAACCATATCAGCTAGATAGTTACCAGGGTACGTTCCGGCAGTACCCTGGTGGACATAGACCTTATGAGCATTACTATTACTAATTAGTAATACTACTCATTACTAGTAATAGTAGTACTACTAGTAATGCTAACAGCAAACAAGAGACCGTCTGTCATTCACTCAGCCTTTAGGTGCACTCAGGCAGCTTGGCATTTAGTGATTCTTTGAGTACATGCAAATTCTAGAGGATCATACGTGCAAAAACTATTTATCTATGTCTGTGAAGACAAAGCGGTGCCAAACAGAGCGACATGTGCTGTGAGCTGAATGTTACAAATGGTAGCACTATTGATCACCAGAGGGTGGGGGGTTCTGTGCCAAATTGCAGGGCCTGAGAGCAGTTTAATGACAGATTGTGGACCTTTAATACTTTTTTATTCCGAACCCTACCCTAACACTAACAGTAATTCTAATTCCCAACAGTATTCTTACCGTAACTGCTGGTATGCAAGTTATATACTGAGTAACTCTATATCATTTTTTCTTATGGAAGATCACTTGACTAGGAATAACAATTGGTTCACTTTTCACTAACTCCTGCCAATGCGCGCGCGTGCATGCGTGCGTGCGCGCGTGCGTGCGTGCGTGTGCGTGTGTGTACGTGCATTCGTGATGAGGCCAACTAACTGCTGCCATCTATTCCAATCTCTTCTCATGGGGTGTTGTGATAGTTGGCAGCAGTTAAAAACTGTGTCTAGTTCAGGATGGCTTCCTCCAGTGTCAGTCTTCTTTCGAAGCTATACCATCTCAGGGTGCGAAATTAACGCTAGTCCGGAGTCAAATACTCTCTGATTTACTGTCGGACTCCCTGATTTTACATATATATGGAGGAGTTCGTGTGACTCCCTGAAAATTCTGCTATATATACTAACTAGTTTGTTCCAGAGCATGACCTTGCGGAATTACCGTATTTTTTCAGCAAATGTTCAAAGAAAATTTGGCACACGTGCAACCGCATGAATCTTCAAAATATGCACATGCGTTATTGTTAATATCCATAATTTTGAACTTCAGACTGCGGACTCCCTCACTTTGCTGCGGACTCCCTCTTTTTGAGGGCAGGGAGTCCGTTGGACTCCCTTGTTCAAAAGTTAACTTCTACCCCTGCCATCTGTTGTTTGATAATGCAACTAGGCCACCAACTTCACAGTGTGAGCTTAGAAAGGAACCATGGTATGATGGTAGTACTTAGGTATTGATTTGCGTGGTAGCAGCTCGCCATTCCTTATTTATCCTCATTTTTCAGTAAGAGCTGTTTGATGGATTCCGTTTGCAAGGTGACAGTGTGCTGCCGACAGTCTAAGATGTAGAGGAAACTTGTCAGTGCTGGAAATTATTTTGAAAACCCATCCAGTCTTGCTTTCGAAAATATCGATTTCTAACATATGGTAAACTAAAAGTCCTTAAAAATTAGCCAGTCATGCTCAAAAGTTAGCAGTCCCAGACTGGGGGACCGTATGCTATTTCACACACTGAACTTGTTTGGGCTCCTTGCTGAACCGTCTTTATTGTATGTGCGGGGGCTTCGGTTTATGAATCACAGACACCAAAAGCATATTCAGTAGTGGCTCGGCTAACGGTGATGTAGTCTGTCTCTTTATACCTGAAATCACGAGCAACTCGTTTTGCTCTGAGAAATGCGTCTGTACTTGGTTGATTTTTTTGACTATATTTTTAATTAGTGACATTAGGTATTTTATTTCATCCTGGTGTGGAAGGCAATGTTTTTCAAAGGGGTCATCCATGGGTGGTGTATTTTTCTTAGTTCTGCTA